GCCTGTGGTTAACACTAAGGCAAAATTATCCACCACTGACCAACCTCAAATTGATGGTCAAAACAAAAGTGCTAACCAAAATCCTGACAATTATTACAGTCTCTAGTTCAGAAAAATCTTGAGAATTGGGACTTGATCCCTCCAACTGTTCAAATTGCATATAACGATCATGTGAACTGATCTTTAAGTCTAAAACCCTTTGAAGTTATTCTTGGTTGTGAACCTTTGAAACCTCTAGACCTTATTCCCATGCACCCACATGCTTATGTGTCTATGTCAGTTGAGGTAGTTGTATCACATTTTCATAGCTTGCATATTGAGATCAATAAACAATTTGAAGCAAGTAAAATATTATATAAACCTCAAGTTGATTGGCATAAACAACACTTTGAATTTAATATTGGGGATTATGTTATATTGCAAGCGTATAATGCTGGTCTTTTAAAGTTTTAAAGCATGTTGGTCCATATGCACATGTCATTAATTTTTCATCACATTTTGACCACCACTCTACTTTACATATTGAAGACTTAGTTACTTACAAAGCCTTTTTAAATTCCTTGATGATCCTTTTCTACTTATGTGGATCCCCAACCTAAATATATTACCATTTTCATTCCAATAACACATGTCACAGCACACAAAGATGTAATTGATGCTATTTTAGATAAACAGGTTGTGCTGACCAATGAGGAAGATTTTGGAGATGAGTGGCATGAATTTTTACTATTGGGAGTTCAGTATCGATATGTGATTACAAAGAAAGATCGTCCTCCTTGGTTGGATCATATCCTTGAGGATAAGCTACAACTATCCTTGTTATCATTTGTGGAGTTTCGGTATTTGGTCATCGAAAAAGATCATCCCCGTGGCATGACTTGGAGCCTTTCGCATTAGATTCAGTGCAACATTCTGCTTTATCTACTCGACGGGGTCGAGTTTTTCTCCCACCCCAGGAGAGTTGATGCGGATATCCATTTATTATTTATTTTCTATTTGGACTATTAGTTATATTTTATTTGGACTATTGTTTATGTTTTCGTTATTGGGCTTGTTTAGTGGGTTTGCCCAAGCCCTTCTCTTTAGAGTTTGTGTTTAGCTATTTATTTCTGTTTTGTTTCTCATTTGAGACAGTTGATGATGAATTAGAATTGAAAGTTGGTTTTGGCTTGCAGCCGGCCATTTCCCCCCTTGCTTCTCCCTTTCTGTCCCTGGTCTCCTCTCGTTCCCCCCTTGTTTCTCTCCGGTTCCTCCCCCTTTCTTACTGCGTCCGCCTTCTTCTTCTTCTTTTTCTGGTTATGCTATATTCTGCCTGTTCTAACTATTTTGCAGGAATTCATTTTCATCCTGCATCACATGTACTTTATAAAATTCCTATTCTTTATAGTTTTAACAAGTGATAAACATCTCCTAGGCGCATCAAGGACAAGGAAAGTCCAATTTTGTAAATTAGAATTTAGAACGTAAAGTGAAAGAAATCTTTTAATTATTTGAGCATTTGTTTAAAATAGTCAAAATTTTGACGTGGAATTTTTTTTTTCCCCTTACATCTATTTTTTATTTAAATCTAAATTTTTATTAAAACATTTGTCTAAAAAAGTCAAACCCACTCCCGCCCCCAACTCCCTTCCTGTTTATTTCCAACCCCATCCTCCTGTTGAGTCTTTCCTTGTCCTCATCACTACATATGACATTCATTGCTTTATTTTTAAAGATTTTCTTTCGATTGTTTGCCCATTCTCAAGGCAGTCTATCTGTATCCCTCGCAGGCGTGACAATGTACACAAGGTTTCTTTGTGTAGTTGGACAATTTCTTATGTGTGAGAGAATTTCTTTTCGGTCAAAGGTGAATTTGAGGACTTCTTTATTTTTGATGTTGGGTTTCAAGATTCTCTTAAACTATTTGGTAAGCCTAGCCTTAAACTGTTTGGTAAGCCTAGCCATAGTTTCATCCAGTTCACCATCCTCATCTTCATCATCCTTTTCTTCAACTCTAAAGCAATTCCTTTGNTTCCATATGAATTCATTACTATGAAGTAAAATAGCATTAAAAGCTTTATAATTTTAATTATTAAGCCTCCCTTTGTGAAGAACTTATAAATGTAAATTGATAAAATTGAGCAGGGATAAATGGATAGCACTTGCGAGTTCAACGGTGCTTGAAAATGTAGTATAACCAATTTATAAATGATTTATAAATTTGCCAAACGGAGGCAAACATTATAATATGGCATGACCCACTCCCCTACGATTTTAGCTCTAATTGGAGCCTTCAATGATAGTGTGTGGTCCATATCTATACATAATGGAATTTCACACTCTTTTATCTAATGAATTAATATAAACCCTCATATAGACTTTTCCATGTGCGAAGTTTGAGCCAACTAACACGCGGAATTTTGAAGTAGAACCATTTGTGTAAAGCAATAAATATGAACACCAAATTTAGTGTGGCAAAACCTCTAACAAGGTGAAAACCTATGGGCCTTCAAACCTACAAAAAAACTCAATAACTGTTGTCCAAGTTTTGGAACTATAATATAACTAGCATCTTGCTAAAATCTAAACTAAAACAAAATGGCATCACAAGAATATGAATCGCTCCCTATTTATGTTCTCAACCAGTTTTAGAATGGAGACAAGACCTCCAATCATGATCTTAATGCCACTTCTGGAATCCAATCCTTTGACATAAACAGTAACATAAAATCATAAATCAATGTTTAAAAAGGTGTAATTAGGTATTGAGGCCTTTTTCCTTCATAAGACAAGGTATAAGCCTCTAGGCGCTTTAAGGCATAAACCTCACCTTATACCCAATAAAAAAAAAAATGCAAAATAAGCCCATAATACATCATAAATAATCTTTCAAAATCAAAATTCATTACAGTACAATTTAAAACACGCAAATAAATAAAAGAAAACTTTACAAAGAAGCAATCATGTTACTTAGCGAGGGCAGTGGAATATCCTCGAAGTAAGTCTCTGAGTAACAAAATTGTTCAATGTTTGAGTAAGCAATGAACTATTCTCAAAATCTTATGTTTTGTGGGCCATAAGTCTTGACGCGGTGCTGTGAGGTGTGTGTGCCTCACACAACTAAGGTGTAAGCCACTAAAAGGTGCCTCACAGTTAGCTTCCTAAAGGGTTTTTGCATTCCCCACTCTAAGACGGGCCTTAAGGGAAGTTAAATTTGGATTATTTTTTTTTTTTACCATAACATAAACCTCGTGTTTGTCTTCAACCAATTCACAAATTACTATGTTAATATGTCGGAAGCGCCAATGTCTATTTTTCAGTCACGCAACCTACTGTAAGTTCAGTCCACATTAAGAATGTGCTGTGATCTAAATAAAAACCACACATGTTAGTAGACTCGATTTATGAGAACAGGAAATCAATAAGGACTAAGATTGATTTTGACAGGGAGCTTTGCTAAGTAAATATCAAGTTATGTCAAATAGTTAGTGATTACTCCTCAAAATCAATTCCTGTCAATGGTGTGTCATTTGTCTTGATTGATACATTTCATTGGGCTTTCAGAATTAGAACTACAAAAATTTGATGTCAAATTTGAATTGATTTATTGAATTTCTTTTTCTGACCTAGAGTTCACATCCTAGCAGAACCCTCTTAAGTATCAAACCTCTCATGTTTTCAACAAAATGAAAAGAAACGAAAAGTAGAATCCCTTAATCAAGAAGACTCGACATTGCTGCCAAAGCCTTGCAGCTAATCAAATCACTAAATTATTTTTCCTACCGTGAGTCCTCCTTAAATTTTTTCTTGTTTACAAACAGCAAGTTAATACAGATGACACAATTCACAATTTTTTTGGGCCATCAAGTGTTTCTCACGAGCAATTGAGGACACGTGTTTAGACATTTTCTTTCAATTTTTAAACACAAAATTTACTCAAATTCACAACCCTTATCTTCTGCATACAAGAATACTCAGGCTCCGCCCAAAACAAATCGAAACAAAATAAATCCTAAAAGACTATAGAATGGAATCAGAGAGAAAGTTTACCCAAAAAAATAATAATAAAATAAAACCCTAATCCAAACAGGAAAACAAGAATGGTACAAAAACAGATTATACGTTAACCAATAACCCATAAATAAACACCTCTCCCAGTGAACAAAATACCTCCAGAAAACCTTATAAAAGTATAAAACGACGGCTAAGGGGCAGAAAATATAAAAGAATTGAAATTACAAATATGAACCTGAAGGCCAGCGCGGGAAGAACGAGAAGTAGGTGCTTTCTTCTTGTCCTTGTCTTTGTCCCTGGATGCTGGGGTTTTCCCAGTTAACAGTCCCTTTGCCCCTTTACCCGACATTCTTTCGATTATCGATTTTTCGTCTACGCAATTTGCAGAATGATATAGTGATTTAAATTTTGAACGGCAGAAGAAGAAAAAATCAATCCTTTATCGCTTTAGAGATATACGAGACAGTTCTTGGACGCAATCGCGATTTCGTGTAAAAGCACATTCCAATTTTCACAAATGGTCCCTCATTTTCAAGTGAAATTTCAAACGGGTCCTTGAAGTATTTTTGTGACATTAAAATCTCAGTCTTTCCACATAGGTGAAGTAGACCTACTATTCCATCCTTATATAGAAACAATGAAGAGGTGAAGACTGATAGTCAATTTTGGAAGCTATCGGGTTAGGTTGGATCACCGGCTAAGCCACGATTAGACTTAACACTTTTCATTTTTATTATTTTTAATCATTAACATTTCAAATTTTTACTAAAATCAAATACCAAAATGCAAAAATTAAGGGGCGTATGGTTTGCCGTTTTCCAACCATTTTCTATTTTTAGTTTTCGAAAACCCGAAAATGCATTTCCGAAAATAAAGAAAAATTTATTATTGAAAACTCAAAACGATTTTTTTTTCGATTTGAGTGTTTTCAGTCAAAAAACTCAAAACGTGGAAAACGTTCAAAACATGCCTTCTTTTTTTTTTTTAAAGGGATGCTCAGTAGTATTTTAAAATGGTAAATTCACTAAGTTTAAAATATATATTTTCTAGAAATATATTAGCATAAAATTAATATTTTTTATTAAATAATCAAATTAATTGAATAAATGTCATAAAACAATTTCTAAACATTTATTATTTATTATTTTATTTTTGTAGCAAGAAAAAATAGTGAATTCACCAAATTTAAAATATATATTACTGGTAATATATTAGTATAAAATTATTGTGTTTATTAAATAATCAAATTAATTGAATAAATGTCATAAAACAATTTCTAAATATTTATTATTTTATTTTTGTAACAAGAAAAAAATAGTAAATTCACCAAATTTAAAATATATATTATCTCGTAATATACTAGTATAAAATTATTATGTTTTATTAAATAATCAAATTAATTGAATAAATGTCATAAAACAGTTTCTAAACATTTATTATTTATTATTTTATTTTTTGTAGTAAGAGAAAAATAGTAAATTCACCAAGCAGAAGCAAATCATTGGTGTGCTTACCCTACGGGATCTATCTTACGAAACTACTTCGATCAGTTTTCCCATGTTACAACTTTCATACCAATTCGGTCGAACGGAATGGATCGATTAAACATTCCTTACTCTTTCCCTCTGCACGCCAGTCTTGCAGGTCTTTCACCATCTGCTTTTCCTAACCTGAGATTCTCTTTTTCATTTTTTCCAGTAGAGGAATTTATTCTCTTGAGGCCATATAGCTTGTCACAACTCAACACTCCTTCAATTTAAAATATATATTATATGGTAATATATTAGCATAAAATTATTATGTTTTACTAAATAATAAAATTAATTAAATAAATATCATAAATCAGTTTTTAATTATTTATTGTTTAGTATTTTATTTTTATAATAAGAAAAACAGTAAATTCACCAAGTTTAAAATATATATTATCTAGTAATATATTAACATAAAATTATTATGTTTTACTAAATAATCATTTTAATTTAATATATGTCGTAAAACAATTTTTAATAATTTTAAACAAAATGCATTTTCTAGTTTTCTATTTTGAAAAATCGTTTTTCAAAATAACAAACCAAACACGTTTTCTGTAAATCGAAAATAGTCCCTCAAAACAAAAAACGAAAACATAAACCAAACGCACCCTAATTGTCTAAAATCAATTTACCTCTCATTAGTTTCTTGTTCCTAAAAGAAAAGGGAAGAAGTGATGAAGAACCCTAGCCCCCTCGTTGCTTATCAATCGTCATTGTCCCTCTGCCTCTCATTTTAAATCCGCAACTTTCATGATTTCGTGACCATCATCATATCTCAACTCTATCACATTCTCTCAAGATTGAAGATTTGATTGGAATTCGTAAGTTTAAGATCATTAATACTTTGTTTTTAACCTTTCTTTCGTGAAAGTCGAACCATGTTTTAAAGGTTGCTAATTTAGAGCTTTCATTTCTTAAAGTCCATGATCTCTTAAAGGTTATTAAGAGCCGAACGCCTAATGTCGATGCCTGGACAATGTAAAATGTCAAGACTTTCCATTCTCCCTAGAACATACCCTAAATATTTCCTAGATATGTCTATATATCACAAATTTTTATAAACATTCATCGATTTTTATCAAAATCTATTAAAAATCAAATTTTAATCCCCACCAAATAGGGTCTTAATATTATACGCTTTTACTTTGAAACATTTTTCTTTAAGTAAAATCCACAAAAAGGAAAATATTTTTCTGATCCCATGTTTTAATACCCTATGTCCAACGATGCACTTTAATTTGACTTTTGCAGGGTTTCACAATATCGTGAGAAATCATGAAGACAATACTCATCTACTTGAAAGGACGTGATTTTTCGCAATAAATACATTTTGACTTGACGATGTGAGCGATAAGATGACTATATGAAAACTTGATTCCCTCATTTGAATCCTTGTAGAATTTCCTTGAACTTTGAAATGTGAATATCCATAATTTCTCTCTAGATACATGAAAAACTTTAGTGGAGCGTGTGTGAATTCAATAGTGTTGTATAATGAATATGCTGAGAGGTGTGTGTATTTATAGGTGGAGAAAGGTTTAGTCTATGGTATTTATTATGAAAGACTTTAATCTAGAGGTGGACAAAATATCTAGACTTAACTAAATCAAATCAAAAATGACCAAATTGAGTAGTTCAATTCAATTCTACAAAAATAATAATAATAATAATAATAATTAATGATTTTGGTTATTTGAACCAATGACTATTTCGTTTTGGTTCGATTCTAATTTTAGAGCCTAAAAACAGAATCGGAATCAAACTTAATTTTTAATTTTATTGTGTATATATATTAGTGGGAGTGAATTACCCAAATGGTCACTTAATTTTGTAAAAGGTTTTTACGGGATTTCTGAACTTAAAAAATCACTCAATTCGTCATTGAACTTTAAAAATCACCCAATTAACACCAGAGGTTACTAAATGAATTGGGTAGTTTTTAAAGTTCAATAAATCCGTGGAAATTTTTTGCAAAGTTTAGTGATCATTTGAGTAATTCACTCTAATTAGTGGATATCCTATTCTTGTATTCATTGGAGATAGCCCATTAATTGTATACACCATAATTTTGTATCATTTGAATAATTGCTCTCACTCATTTTCAATTCACATGACACCACTGCACTTCAGCATCGCATCTCATCACGTCGGTGGATGAGACTCTTTCAAGATCGAAAAAGGGAATTTGTCAGTTACTTAAAAAGCCTTTAAACTATTTTTTCACTTTGTTATTTGATGAATTATTTGTGCTCTTCACAAATGGAGGAAAGTTCAATAAATATTTATGGAGTATTAAATGATTAATAGTTTGTGGACTCTAAAAGGTTTGCATAATTCATCATTTATCATGGGGATGTGCCGTCAAAATTGCTGCAATTAATTTAGTAATCATTGTTATTACTTATTAGACAATCTTTTATATCTGAATGGAA